ACTGAAGACTGGAGGAATGATGCTGAAAATACAGCTGCGCATCATGTTTTAAAATATTACAATAGAAAACAGTTTAAATTGTAATAATATTTCACAATCGTACGGTTTTTACAGCATTTTTGAATAATGAATGCAGCCGTGGCAATGAATTCTACACTCAAAATAGAACACTTACATGATCTTAATTTTGATGAAAGAAATGATTCTGAAAACACCAATGTTCACTCTTTAGACTAACATTATAACATCAGACGTCTTTGAAATAAAATGAATTTATATTTGATTGTACATAATCATAGCTCAAAACCTTTAGCTTAACTGCTTTTATAGCAGTTTAAGGTGATGAGTTCAGTTTCATTCAGTCTGATGCAACATTTCATCAGAGGCTTTAATTCCGAGCACACTGTACACGTCAAACAGGTTTAACCTTTATTTACACAAAAAAATACCTTGACTCCAGGGAAGGTGACAGCCGATGAAGCGTAGGAGCCGATCATCAGTGACAGCACAGTGGAGCTCAGACTTCCAAACATGTTTGGCAGCTACCAGAGGAAGAGAGGAAAAGCACATCTTTATCTGTATTGGAAAAATCATAAATGCAGCTGAGCCTATACTTGCAAAGAACAAAAACAGGAAGGAAAACTAGATTGTTATATTTTCTGAAAACAATGAGCGCATCCATGGAAAAACTCACCACCTTGAAACTAAGGCAAGTCAAGTGTCAAGTGAACATCATGCCTAACCACAAGTATGAGCAATAGTGATGCCCGACTTAAACATCACTAATTAAGTGTAAAATGAACGTGAGAAATATGAATGCTTCAGTAAGCAGGAAGTCATGCTGTGGATTGTGGATATGAATACAATTTTTTTCCACATTTTCCATGAATTTCCAAGCAGTGCTTCGTTTTTCCAGACTCTTACAGGGATGTGTGAGTGTGCTTTACTCCCCTGTGTGAAATGAGAAGGTTAAAAACACACACTTCTGTGAAAACGCACATTTGTACTTCCTTGTGCTTTTCACACACAAACACAGAGTGGCATAACAACCTCAAACCTGAACTTGTTACAGAAGGCTGCACACCTTAAACACCAGTACAGTATCCAAAGCAATGTTATTTATTTTTTTACAGATGCTGTTCACGGCTCAGGAGAGATCAGTTATGTTTATTGCAAGTATCAACTTTATCTTAGGGTGACCATACGTGCCATTTTCCCAGGACACGTCCTGGCCA